GAGCCCCCAGCCACTCCCCTCTCCCCCACCAGGCTTCTGCGCAATCACAGGCTCCTAGCGCTGATCCTGGCCCCGCCTTCCAGCTGCTCCCCCGCCCACGCCAGGCTTCCGTCCGGTGCGCAGCCGGAAAAATCACAGACTACCGGAGATTGCACGTGTCCAGTATTCGCTGATTTTTTTTACCAGACAAAGAGCAAATACCGGACACCTGGCAGCCCTCGCAAATGGCAGGCTCCAAACAGTTCACAGCAACTGGGCAAATCCTCCACCTTGCTCTGCCGTGGGCTGATAGTTCCCAGTTGCTGTGGTCAACCCAACGGGCTTTCCTGTTTGACTTCAGTGTGGCCTCCACAGGGCCACAGCTGGCTATAAAACCCGACCTTGGGTGTGCTTGAGCGCGTGGGACGAACAAGAGGCCAAGACCCGCTGAGTTTTCATCAGCATTGGCTTGAATGCCGGACAGCCAGCGGGGATTCGGGCTGATCCGTGTGGCAGGGATACGTTCGCGGTGGCGCACCCCCGCAGCCACGTTGTAAGGGTGACTGCCCGATAGATATCGAACCTCGCGCTTCTCTTGGCAGTTCTATCGCTCCACCGCTGGCGAGCAGCATTGTCCAGCGCAGAGCTGGGTATTCTCATCCACTGCGAATTGTCTGGGAGCTTCTCCGCGGCCCTGAGCCTGGAGACATGCGCGTCCCCGGCCCGGCTGGTACAGCGCGTGGAGGGGCTGTCGGAACGGAGCTGGGGAGCAGAATCAGCTGCGCGGTGGTTCAGACCCGTGTGCGGTTCCTCTCGGCCACACAAGCCACGGGCCTGTTGAGCCGCAATGCGCAGAGCAGTCCTTGGCGATGCCGGTTGGAGTGCGACGTGCCGTCTCCTAGGCAGGACTCTTGACCCCTCGTGTGTTCTCCGCCTTTCCAGCGTCCCTGCAGGAAGGGCAATCGCGGGCCCCTTCGGGCTGTGCCTGGCTGCAGGCTTGTGTGTGGCCCACGTTCGCCGTGTCCAGGGCCGTCCGTGGGCATCCGTAGCAGTGGCACCAGCTGGCGCTAGCCGTGAAACCACGGCAGCTGCTTGAGTACTTAGCCCAGGGCGTGGGTGGGTGGGCTGGTCCAAGTTGCCGCGGTTTCACTGCTGCTGTTACTCAAGCTGGGTTGGATCCACCCCGATTAAAGCGAGTGTGGACGTGGTGCTTTGTGCCGCTGCCACATCTCCGGGTTGCCGTGTAGACACCCTCCATGTTCCTGGAAGGGGCGGAGCCCCAGCAGAAGGGGCGTGGCCGAGGGCAGCCAGCCCTCAGCCACACCCAGACCATGGTGCCCCCCCAGCGCTGCATGGCGCACATGGTGTGATGTGCAGCCCAGGCAGCCCTGAGAGCCTCCCGGAGCGCCCCCCGCTGTGTTCTGGGGGCGATTTAAAGGGCTCAAGGCTCCGGGCGAGGCTGCCCAAGCCCCTTTGAGTCACTGGCGCCCAGGGCAGTTGCTCCCTGTGCCCCTGCAAGGGGCTGGGGCTCTCCGGGGTCAGGCAGCCGGGGTGAGCGGCGAGGGGGCCGGCCGTGTGATTTCAGGCAGGCGCAGAGAACCGAGGGTTCTCCACTTGCTTCGTTTATTAACCCTTTGTCCCCTCCCCCTCCTAGCCAAGCCATCCGGGCGCTGCAGGACGAGGTCTCGCGGCTTCGGCAGCGGGTGGGGGGGA